ACCAGCCTTCACCATAAAGAACTTACAAATTATACTAAGCAAACACGTTAACAGCTATTAAGAGTCCTAATCAGAGCTGTTAAACAAACAATTAAGAGGTGCCATATGAAGTGCACCCATTTAGGCATAGCAGCTACATGTTCAGAGTTTTAAAAGGAACTGTGTACCCTGATTATAGAGTTGAAGCCCTCTGTGAGGTATAAAGATTATACAAGTCACCTTTCTGAGAAATCCCAGTTTCTGAGATCACATCCCATGGGCACAACTCTGTTCCCAATAGCCAGCTTGCATCAAGTAGTGCTTCTTTTAAAGGACCATGAGATGTTAATCTAATCATACAGTAAAAATTAGGAAGACATCTGCTTTGTGGACAGCATTCCAGGTGAAATATCACCCCCGCTTCCAAGACTATTCCAAGAGTGACTGCAGCATGACCCCAGCATGGTGGCACACCCTTGTAATCTCATCTAGGCCAGAGGATTGTGCTAGCCGTAGCAAAGTTAATAAACCCTGTCTCAAAAACAAAATAAAAGCAACAGGACCAGAGACATGGTTCAAGTGGTAGAGCACTTGACTAATATTTGCAGGGCCAATTGTAAGTGGACAATGACAGAGGTGACCCCATTTTGGATGAGGGAGGTAATTTAGAAGCATACATCTACAGAGGCATGAGAAGCAGGTGTCTGTGAGAAGTAACAAATCCCTTAGCAAAAATAACACAATGCAGCTGTACAAGGTGGGTGGTGGGCCCCAAGGCCAAGGTAAGTCGAGCAGACTTTCAAGGTCAGGACAAGCTGAGCAGACCTTCTTGCAATGCTCATTTTGATACGGAGCGAGGTGGACAGGTGGCTGATTTCAGCAAGAAGCTGATTCAGTGCTAACCAATCACAAATATAGTTTCAAGATAGAATAGTTGGACCTGAGCCAGGCAGAGCCCTATGTCACTCCTAGACTTCAGCTATCCTATGGCTTAGCTCTTTTCCTAGAGTCCCTCCTGTGCACGCAGGAACTTTGCCATCCTTTCAATAAATGTTGTGCTTGCTTTGCTCTTAACTCCTGGCCCAATGTCTTCATTTATCAACTTTGCCAGTACAGGAACTGGGGATCAACAATCCTGTATCACAATCCCTGGTAACACACACACACACACACACACACACACACACACACACCAGTGTTTACAGCATTGCCCTGAAGTTGGTCACCAATGCAGCACCCCATCCTAAACCTACAGAATCAGGGACTGCATTGGAATAAGATCCCCAGATGATTTTATGTGAATTTTTTTTAATATGCCAGAATCTTGATGGAGGGGGTGAATTCAACTATGATATAGTATAAGAATGTTTGCAAATGTCACAGTGTACCCCCAGTATAATAAAAATAATAAGGCTTTAAAAACAAATAAGAAACAAAACAAAACAAAAAAGAACCTTGCTTATGTAGGCAAGTGCTCTACCATTGAGGTACATGCCAGCCCCCAAAATTCTAAAGGAAATATCAATGTGCAAAGTTCCTATCATCAGATATTCTATCAGGAAAATTAATAGGTTTAATCTCATTGAAAGGTAGAAATTAAATTACTCACTCCAGAAAGGCACATAAATATTGTGCAATTTGCCAAATGATTAAGTGTTTCTGAAGTGGCCACTGCCAGCCTCCAGGGTTCCTAGCGTTGACCATCATTCCAGCCATGTGTAGTCACCATCTTGGAGTTTCTCTTCCCTTTCAGGTTTTGTGTCCTGGTCACACACTCAGTAAAGCTCCCAGTTACACAGAATGCTAATACTGTAGGGTAAGGATACAGAGTGGGAAAGAGAGGGTCTTCTTAACCTCAGGCTGCACTGTGCTCTTCTAGTTCAAAGACACCAAGTCAGCTTTTTCATCACACACCCCCGGACTGAATGTCCCAATCACACATTGTGCCATGTTTGGAGATTAAGAGAATTAATCAGTTTTGTATCTTCTCACTGGAAACATCCAGAGTAAACTAAAATTAAATCTTACTGCTTGCTCCTCTTTCAAAGCAGTTCTAGATTTCTTTTCACAACAGGTTTTTACAAGAGTCGTGAACATCCCATAAACGACATGACAGGATGGGATTTTTCAAAGCCTGATTTCTTATGCTCATATTGTGAACCATTTTAAGTCTATAGTAAAAGCATAACCACAAGCACTACTGTAAAAATAGAATCTTTGTAAAGCATCAGTTGACATTTATGGCTAAAAAAAAAATGTTTAAATTATATTAAAAAAAAACCTGTAGAGGAAATTGAAATGATATTCTTTATAATTGTTCTAGAAAAAACCATCAGCTTGAAGAAAGTTATAATGGGGCTAATTAATGCTCAAATTGTTCCTCCTGAGAAGTAGATTCTTTATAAAATGTCAGTGCCTCATAGGAAACTCTAACACTCCGAGACCGGAAATGAAGGGCTGTTGTACTTCCTACTTGGTTTTGTTTGTCATTATTTTTACTCATACTATAAAAGTTACAAGGTAAATTAAAAACATCGAAAATTTTGATCTGAAAGCATGGATTTTTTTTTAAACAAACCAATACCTCTGTTTTGGTTGAAGATAATTTGATACATTTTTAAACCATATTTGTCTGGTTCATGAAATGGCTGAAGGGAAAAATGATGCAATTGCATGAAAACAGATTTTCACTGGCTACGTGTGGCTCACATTTGATTTTATGGCCAGGAGTTCTGGCTCCCACACTTTCAAATTGTGTGGCCTAGAGTCAGTCACTTGACCTTCCCCTGATCCAGTCAAACAGGGTAAACAATACATCTTCAGGGAAATTCTAGAACTAACTGAGATAGCACATTGAAAAGTATTTAACAGAGAGCCTGGCCCATAAGAACTCATCATGTTAGGGATTACATTGGTTTATTCTTATCTCACCATCATTCAATTGATTTTTGACAGAATTTAACATCTGGAAGTCATTCTTTCTATTCTGAAATGCAATGCAAAATGGCTACATACAAACTAACTAAAAAATAAAATGGAAAAGCACTACAACCTATATCCCTAGCTTCCTTTTTCTCATACAGGAGCCAGCTTCCCCTAAGAGCAGTCAATGTGTCCCCACAGCTTCAGTTCCTTATCCCATCCACTCCTAAGCCACAAAGCAAAACAAACAAAGCAACAGCAATAAGACAAGCCAGTGTCTTGCAGTGCCTCTTCCCTACAGATGCCAACAGCCACCAGTGTCTTTCCCTTTGCTAAGTCTAGCAATGGCTTTCAGCTCTCAGTTCCCCACCCCTCTGCAGCACTTGTCTTGAACCTCTAGGATCTCTTCCCCTAATGGCTTTCTGACTTCTGTCTTACCCTTTCTTTAAAGGGCTGGCATTCAAGGAAGCTCACACTTGCCTTTTTTTTATATACACATCATGGAATCATGGGACTTCATGCTGAAAATTCCTAGGTATACTGTGGGGAGTGGATTATGAAAAGCCTATGAGAATTTGACATAAGCACAGCTGTGCTCAATAATCAGCAGGCTGAGTTTGGCAAGGAAGAGTGCAAAATGCAGCACAGCTCCTTTTCCTGAGTTGTTTATGTTCAGAGAAGTAGGAACGCAGGTTTCTCTTTTTACAGTGTCATGCCCCTCCCCGAGAACTGTTGCTCCACCCCACTTATCACTGGATATAAAAGACTCACTGAAGGAGGACATGGGGTTTTATGGATTGAAGGGGTTGATTGGCTGTCTATTGATTGGTTGTAAGACTGCCACTGCTGCAGCTAAGTTATGCTAGAGATTAGAAGAAACATGGGATGGTGCAAGTCTGAGCACTGAGACTTTCAAGGGAACATGGGACAGTGCAAGTCTGAGGGCAAAGTCTTTAAGAGAGGTTATACTAAAGAAAAGCTAAGAGAAAACTTGGGATAGAGTGGTCTAAGGAAACAGACTTTAAAGAATAGAAAAGAAGACTTTAGAAGTAAGGTTTTTAAAGATAGAGAAAAGAAGCAGAGTGAAAAGAAGAGAAATAAAAAAGCAATGAGACTGTTGTGCGTCTCCATTGAGTTCCCGACACACCTGACCCCAACTTTATGCATGTCTGTCCTCTATCATTTGTCCTTTCTGCATCTCCAGTCGCCCCCAGGTAGGCCAGTTAGGTCAGTAGAATAGGAGCTTGAAAAATCTCACTCCAGTATACATTTTTCCTCTCTCTCTCTCGTACTATGCTAGGCATATGGATTATAATACAATTTATTTAATCAAAGACCTGGAAGACCTTAGGAGACCTTGGAATAGAATCTTATTAATTCTCCTATTTTAGGACATTTCTTTCATTTACTATTCACAATGTCACAATCCTCTATTGGCTACCATTGCCACACACCCTGATACACATGGTCTAGTTTTCCATCCATGATTTCAATGAACCATAGTTTGAAAATATTGGGGAAGAATGTGTCTATACTGAGCTACATGACTTGAGCATAGAGGACAAAAAAGGAGAAGAGCAGATAAAGTTAGAGATCTAGGCAAGGGAAGGTTGGTTTAGGGAAGGAGTGGCACTCCAGCCTCTGCTTGACCACCTCTGGGCTTAAGAACTACCCCACCAACCTCCAGACGGCACATCCAGTGGAGAGAAATGGAGTGAAATATGTGTCTTTCTTATGCTGGACCAAATTTGACTTCCTGAAAACTTAACCTATCTGATCTAATTTTGAACAGCTGTACTGAGGTGTACCTGACCTACTGTGCTTGTTTAAAGTGTACAATTTAATGCATTTTGTGATGTGTGTACACCTATGAGACCATTACCACATCAAGTTAATGAAAGCATCTGTCATCTCTGGAATTTCCCCTTCATCCCTTTGCAGTCCCCCTCCTTCCCACCCCCATCCCCAGGTAGCCATTAATCTTTCATGCCTAGAATAGGGCCTAGTACATAAAACTTATTTGCCAAATGACTGAGAGTGAGCCCTTTTGAAGAATCATGTCTTGGTGTGACACTGAGTGGCTGCTCCATCTTTCCCAGGTGTGCAGTGCTGTTCAGAATCAGGACTTCACTGTGGTCGAAGACTATTGCACTGGCCTCAGAGCTCTGCTTTACCTGAAAAACATCGAGGAGCTCCAGGACTGGGATGGGCAGAGTCCAGCCACTGTGAGTCACCAGAAAGGGAAACCGGTTCCACGCATCCCTGAGCTCATTGGCAAGGTACGTAGTGGCCTCTCTGGTGTTATCGTGAGAACTCCACTGTGGTCAATTTGTCCTTCACAGATTGCTTGCCTTCCCACATTCTCCCTCAAACAGGAAATGTGGTACCTGTTGGATATGATTTCTACAGTAGAATCATTCTGAAGCAGGCTTGATTACAGCTCTATGATGGGTCTGCAAGTTACCTTTTTATAAAACCAATATAACACGAGGTCATATAAAAGAACAAGACTGAAGTTTGTACTGTAAAGTACCTCCCAATTCTTGCCATCTGCACTGCTGCTTGGCATTCTTGCTAGTGGGAAGCTGACTGGGAATTTCTTTATTCTTTAACAAGCCCTGGAAATTATAACATTACCTTTCTATTTTGAAGACAATCAAATCACTGGAGTCCTGAATACCATGATGAAGTTTTTAAAATTAAAATCTCATCAGTATCTTTTGTAACTGCCTCTGCTGTGTGGTTAAACCTGGGCTCAAAAGGTTACAGCCCAACTTTCTTGCTAACTGCTATTTTCTGAGAAATATACACTACATTTACATCTTGTATAATACAGTGATTTTAGCAATTCTTTTCTAAAACAACATTCAGCATTTTGCCTTTGTGTTTCCTTTGTATTATTCTAAACAGACAACCATTGTCAGAAGACATTTCTTGAGTCCCGACGAGGGGAGAAAAAAAAATTATAATTCTTAGTCTTTTCAGCTTGTCACTACATCAATAATTAACTTTAAAAAAGAGAGAGGCAGTATAAAAAGATTCTTTAAGGAAGCATTTAATAATTCAAATGAATCTTAACTTGAAACAGGTCACATGAAAAAGAATGGAAAACAAAAACCATGGGTCCTCTCCCTGGGCTGACAGTGAGGAACTCAGAAAGGCTAAGAGAAACATCACATCGCTGGCTATTTTAGGGGAGAATATCACTGTCCCTCTCCTAACAGATAGCAGAAAATAAAGTATTCTGGAAGAATAATGTGTGTGATTGCAAGTCTCATAATGAATAAGGAAAGAAGAAAAGAAATAAAATCTTACGATGTGGGTTCCAGGAAAACATCATGATAAGTGACTCTATGACTGGCAATCAAACAGAAAGGCTGTGACATTAATATTTATAATATTGTAATTAGCAAGACAGTGTAACTAATCATATTGTCACAAATTGGGTCTGTCGTATTCAGACAGTGACCGTTCTTGCCTTTATCAATGACTATCGATAGATACACATTCACAGATGACATTATCCTGGTTTAATGTAGATACCTCAGGAAAATTATTTCTGACGTAAGAGTTTAGGGCCGTCTATAAAAGTATGGTCTCACATTTGGGTTGTTGCCATGTGAACATGAGCGTAAGTAGCGGCACGGCGCTGTGATGGTGTCTCTTTAAAGGACTTTCATCCTCGTTTCAAAACCTATGTGTTCAAATAAACGGTGGATAACGATGGGAGCCCTTGTGCTGATCACAGAAATGGGAATGGAGTTTCTAACATTTGAATCTGAATTCAGACTCTGTTGGTAAGTCCGGCCTTCACCAAAATCGTGAGTGTGATTTTCAGCATTATCAATTATTTTTTTAAAGAACAGATTTTGCTTCTGTGATTATATTGGTGGCTCATTTCTCAACACTAAGTTGAGGAACAGCAGCTGGTCTGATAATAGTTCTGTGCCCCTAGATGGTCTGGCGCAGGCTGTCACGACTGAAACAATAGGGGCGAATGTTCCCTGTAGTGAATATTCCTAGTAGTGAGTCAAAGTTCTCTACATCCATAGTAGGGGTGGCTTCCTTATTGTGCATGCTGGTGTGTGGTGTGGTGGGGGGGGCGGTGGGTATGTGTGCGTGGGTGTGACTGAAAAGCAACCCTTACTGTGTTTTCCTTAGCTAAAGAATAGCCTACTCTTTGTAACTTACAGAGTTTTCTTGCTATGGGGAAAATGAGAAAAGATGTAGAGCCTTTTTAGAAAGACTCACTAGAAGTAGCTGCATTCTTTAGACAGGAAAGTTTAGTTTGTACAATTGTTACTCTCTTCAATCTTTCACTTATAGGCCGGGCTAGAATAAATTACAGTAGATCCATAGAAGAAACCAATTGCACCGCAAGGTTTGACAGTGGAGAGAAAATGAGACTTTGGCTGTGGAGGATGAACTTAGCCAAGTTGATCATGCTGTCTTTCAAGTATTGGTAAATTTAATACAATCTCCTCATGCTTCTCTCCTATTGATTGTTTAGACTCTCTGAGCAGTTTCTTTCCAATGCTTTCGAAGGGCAGGAAGCTAGGTGTTTATAATCTCATGATATAAATTATTTAAAGTTGGAGCCTACAAGGGTGGAGGCAGCCCTGGGAGGAGCAGTCCTCAGCTTCTCCACACCACAGGGCTGCTGATCCCAAGCCAGTTGTCTTAACCGAGACAAGCTGGAGAAAAAATCAGATCTCCAGGCCCCACCTATCCATCCAGATTCAGTAGGTGGTGTGTCTAGGAACCTGCGTTTTCATATCATGAATGTGAAGGAGAGACACAAGGGTCTTCGTTGTCATAAGAGAAGGAAAAGAGAGTCACAGGAAGAGTTATCAATGAGCAGGACATGAACTCCTGATGGAGAAAGCGAGCAGTGAATGGTTTAGAGTTGGGAGAGAAATGAAACCAGAAAAGAGACAAAAGAGGAAATCCAAGATTTAACTCTGGATTCTGAATGGCTGGAGGTGGGACAGGGCCAGTGAGGAGGCTCTGCATAGGACAGGGGACACTCACAGAATGAAGAGCGAGATCGACCATTAGGGATAGGTGCTGCTTTGATACTGACTAGCTAAACAAGTAACTTCATCTCCCTAAGTCTAATTCTAAAACTTTCAAATGAAGATGGTCACAGCACAGGCTCAAGAACCCTCATTAACAATTCTATAAACTAAAAGTGCTGAAATCAAATGCTTCCACACAGCTCATTTAGCAGAAACCTGGCCTGAACTGATGTGGGGCAAGTTGTAATCTTTATTTATTCCTCTTAGAGCACATTTAAACACAAAGACTAATATGTTTGATTCCAGGTTACCATCCCACACCTGCTGGGGCTAGACATGGGACTGGGCAGTAAAAAGGGATATGTGAACCATTTTATCTTTTAAAATCCAAAAGACAATTCCAATCCTTTTCATATGGCTCCAGGGATTTTAAATAAGAGCTTGTGAAAAAATATCTAAATGAAAATATAACTACCTTTATCTAGAAATTCTGCTTCAGAATTGAAGGCAAACTATTTATTTTAGCAATAGAAAATAAAATGTTACCATATGACATTTTCAGGTGTGGGAAATAAGAATTATGTTGAGATTATTTACTTGGGAAACAAGAAAGAAATTGGATGCTCTAATGTTTGAACAGCAGACTTCACAATCAGAAAAGCATGGAAGCAGATTTCTTCACTGTTCTGTGCTGGGCTGAGAGCAGGACTCCTAAGCCAGATACTAAGAGCCCTGGCAGGGAAACAGCAGGCAGGGATCTGCATGTGTTTTCACATGTTGTTCCCTCCCTCTGAATAGCTTTCCAATTCACCAAGGAGAAATTCACAAGCATGGCCTTCTTTGCAGGACATCCTATGACCTCAGCACCAGAATTTGTTTTCTTTCTCTTCTAGAATTTCAGTTGCAACACAGCAAATGAATATCAAATAGCAATTGAATTGTTACATGTCTGTTTCCTCTGCTAGGCAGTAAGTCAGTTATCTTATCATTTTTGCATCCCAGTAAGGGCTCAATAAATGTTGGTTGAATAAGTGGGTAAGAATGCAGCATGGTGGTAGCATTTAGAATTAGTAGTCACTTGACTTATTAAGCCATTGCTTTCTCCATTATATCAGAAATGAAGAATTGAGCTGAGCATGGTGACTCACATTTGTAATCCTAGCCAGCTGGGAGGCACCAAATGACTGGGCAGGGTGGTGCATTCCTGCCTGTCATCCTCCTACTCCATGAAGCACAAACATGAGGGTCACAGGCCAGACCAGCCCGGACATAAAGCAGGACCCAATTCCCAAAACAACCAAGGTGGTGTGTGTCTCAAGTGTAGAGTGCCTACCTAGAAAAACCCCAGTAAACCAAAATAAAAAAAAAAGAAAGAAAACGAAGAATTGAACTCAAAGTTCCATTTTGCATGTGAGTCCAGTTAAGTAAAACAGAGGGAAAGAGCCAGAACGGAAAGAGTGAGGTAGGCAGGTGTACAACTTCTTGGCGTTCTGCGCTTGGCCAAGTGTGCCAAGGAGGTGAGCTTCCTGACAGCCCAGTCACATTCTCTGTGCCAGTGCCTGGCACAGTGTCCACTGTGTGGGAGCTGCAAGGAAGGGGGCGGGATTGATAGATGAATGTGATGTCCATCACTGGTTATTTTACCATCTTCCTTAACTTTCACTTCCTTTGCGAGCCATCAATGACTCTCGTCCCTTGTCTTCGGGAATGTTGACTCACTGCTTTCTGTTCACCCATACCGGATCTTCGTTCATGTGACTCGTAGTGTAGAGATCACTTTATTATAAAGATCACTTCGACTTACGTATCCATCTGCCCATTGCCATTTTGAGACCAGCGAGCCTGTCTTATTACACTTGAGTTTTCAAGCACCTTGCACAATGCTACAGTGTTTATAGAATCAAATTATACAAGCTTTCTGGGAATGTTCTTATTTTTGAGAAAAAAAAGGAAATAAATTTGTAATTAAAATTCCCAGTAGGCCTGTTCAGGAATAGTAGTCATTTTAGAAGAAAAGGATAAATGCCTAAAATTACTTTCAATAGTTATTGAAGCATGATGAAATACAGCCACTGATATTAATAAGTGAACACAATCTGTTCTCATTAGAGCTTTTACGAGGATAAAATCAGAAATGCTGTCATGAAGCTCAAGACCTCACTATTATGGTGAAAACCAAAACTAGATCAATATGGCCAGACACAGTATAAGTTTCCCAACATGGAGAACACGTCCAAAAAGAATATATAAAGTCAACAGCTTGACATCACAAAAGACCTAACAGTATCAGTCACATAAGAAAGCAGTAGTATTTACTATTTACAGCTGTAAAATTTTTTCATTAAGGCTGAGGGTGTAGCTCAGTGACAGAGTGCTTGCCTAGCATGTACAAGTCCCTGGTTTCAATTACCCAGTAGCACACACATGAAAAGAATCAGACAGAGAGAGAGAGAGAGAAAAGAAGAAGAGGAAGAGGAGAGAGGGAAGAGAGAAAGAAAGAGGACGGAAGGAATGGAGGGAGAGAGGGAGGGAGGAAGGGAAAAGAAAGGAAGGAACGAGGGAAAGAAGAGAAAAGAAAAAAGATTGGATCATTTATGTTATTTGTTTTTCCATGTTGTTTATCTTTCTAAATTGTGCTATAATTTACAAAGAGAAAAAACTACACAATGAACCATTTGATGTGTTATTAAAAAATCCTCACTTCTACCAAGAGATAGGATACTGCCATCACCTCAGGAACTTTCCCAGTCATCACCTGTCCCCAGCCACCACCAGAAGCAAAGTCCATCTGTTTTCTTCAACGTGGGTCATTTCTTCATGTTCTTTAACCTTAATAAAATAATCACACGAACATGGTTTGTGGGGAAAACTCTCACTCAGCATGGTGGCTCAGAGGTTTATTTGTGTTGTACTTGCATTAGTTTGTTTCTTTTGCTGCTCATTAATATTCTAATATATAAATGTACTATAATTTGTTTTTCCATTCAAGGTGACATTTAGGCTGCTTTTACTCTGAGGGTTATTTCAATTTATTTATTTTATTTTGCGGTACTGAGGTTTGAACTCAGGGTCTGCACCCTGAGCCACTCTACCAGCTCTTTTTCTTTTTCTTTTTCTTTTTTTTTTTTGTGATGGGTGTTTTTGAGATAGGGTCTCATGAACTATTTGCCCAGGCTGTATTTGAACCACGATATTCCTGATCTCTGCCTCCTGAGTAGCTAGGATTACAGACATGAGCCACCAGTGCCTGGCAGGTGTATTTTAAATATACTTTGTAAGCTTTCTTGCATAACTTTTTGTGAACACACATTTCCATTTCTCTGAGTAATACCTGGGAGTCATACAGTGGGTGCATCAGTTTTACAAGAAACTTCTGAACAGATTTTCAAAGTCCTTGTACCATTTTACATTTTTACCAGTTATGGGAAAGTGTTTGGTTCTCGTACATTCCAGCCAACATTTGATGCTCCCTTCCTTACTAATTTAAGCAATTCTAGTACCTGTGCATGGATATCTCCTTAGGATTTTAATTTTTATTTCCCTAATTATTAATGAGGTTAAAAACTCCATGCTCTGATTAGCCATCCATATATTTGCCTTTTAGTGAAATGTCTGTTCTTATCTTTCTTCCTACTTTTAATTGTTTTAAGTGGGATTTTAGGATCTTAATGAATTCAGAATGTAAGTCTGTGGATCAAAAGAAACATTTGACAAAATCTAATATGACCCATCATAATAATGCTTAACAATCCATTAGCAGAAGAAAATTCCTCAATCCGATGAAGGGTATTCTGTAGCTAACATTAAACCCATTGTGGAGAGGAAAAATTATTTCTCCTTAAAAAAGTTCTACAATTGAGCTGAGTTTCTACTCTCTTCACTTATATCCAGTATTGTAATAGAGGTCGAAACCAGTGCAATGAGAATATAAAAAGAAAGAAATGGTATCTATATTTCAAAGGAATGACCTAAACTGCTCTTATTTATAGATGGCAATATTGTATACATAGAACATCCTAAAGAACTTATTAAAATTTGATTATAATAATAGGTGAGCTTAGAAAATTTCATGATACAAAAACTATATAAAAGTCAGTTACATATCTGCTTGAACAATTGGAACAATAACAATGGAAATTATATTTTTAAATGCCACTTGCAGTATGAGTCAAAAATATAAAATATTTTGGAATAAATTAAAATATATGAAAGATCTGCACACTGAAAACTATAAAGATTTGATGAGTAAAAATTAAAGGCATCTTGAATCACTGGTAAGATATGTTAAGATGTCAATTTTCTCCAAATTGATCTGTATAAACATTATAATCCAATTCAAAATTCCGACAAATGTTTTTATAAAAGTTGACAAGTTAATTCTAAAGTTTACATTAGAATTCAAGGATCTAGAAGAGCCAAAATAATCTTAACTAGAACAAAGTTAGAAGACTTGTTCTATCTGTTTTCAAGATTTTCAATAAATCTACAGTCATCAAGCGAGTGTGTTTTGATGTCAGGATAGACAAATAGATCAATGGAACAGATAGAAAGTCCAGAAATAGACACACACATATACACTCAATTGATTTGTGGCAAAGGTGCAAAAGAAATCCAATGGATTAAGGAATGTTCTTCCAACAAATAGTACTGGAATTAATGAACACATATTTAAAAACTGAACCTCATGCCTACTTAACAGAGGACTATATCATATATAAAGTGAGGTAAGAATTCAATTTCTTAGAGCAAATGTAAGTTTACAACAAAATAGAAGACATGGCATATTCCTGGTGGCTTTAGACTATTAATTTTTAAAAGAAAATATAAATTAATATCTTCATGATTTAAGGGCCAGGAAAAAATTATTGAACCGGATACAAAAAGCACTCGCTCCATCAGAAAGAACATCACAAGTAACTTCTGCCTATCAAAGACAGTTAAAAATGAAAACTCAAGTTACTTTAAAAACAGAATCTGGAGTATTTTGAACTATTTTAATCTTATCAACTCTTATCAACAGTAATGAATTGGAATGAAGAATCAACTATGAGAAATGTGCCAGTAGGCGCAGGTTACTCCCATCCACCTATATCTTTTTCTCCTATAATGGCCATGCTCAGAGCTCACCCAGTAAAGGGGAGAAGGGAGGGAGATGAGAGCTATTTCCAAGTGCACTGTATGGCCTTGAAGCCTTTGTCTATATTATTTTCTCCTATAGGAGCTTCATCCCTGGAACCACCAGATGGTTACATTATATTGTTAGACGAGTTCCAGGTGCCATTACCTCTCTATCTTTATTTGAGTAATGATTCAAATAGAAAACATTATCATTGAGGTCACTTTTTCTGACTATAGCCAATAACATGAGACTAATTTTTTTCATTGTTTTAGTTTATATGACAGGAAATGGCAAACAAAAAGAAAAAGAAAGTGCACCAGTCCCTACAAGTTCAAATTTTCCCAAATTACCAGATCAGAGTATACTGCACAGTAGACTTCATCTGCATCTCAAAATACCATAAGATGGTTTCAATAACATCTTATGAGTGATGCTTGAATTTGCCAGGGGTCTTATAAGAATAGGAACAAGTGTTTTATAAATGGTGATTATTCCTGCACAGAAGCAAGAAACACTGGATAGGACTTAATTCCCCCTTTGGAAGTTGTAAGTTTCTTGTTACCTTATTAGTGTGTAATGATCCCTTGAAGAAGTCAATGTGTATTGTGAAGAAACCAGTATGGCAGGGAGAACATTTGGAATCCAGCAGTTCTGAATTCAGGTCTAAACATAGATAGTGTCTTATTATGCAAAGAACTTGGACCAGCTACATGAATCCTATAATCCTCTGTTTCCATAAAGGCAAATATAGATGGTTCGTAATTCACCAATACTTAGTGAGGATCAGAAATCACCTGTAGAAAGTATAGATGATCACTCCATGGCAGTCCACACTGTAATTATTTATAGCATAGAGATTGATAGATGATAGAGAGA